TATTCAGCCCAGGAAGACTGAATAAGGTTTTGCCCTCCAGGTACTACAGGAAGACCCTGTGGGTGGTACAAGTGGTTAACACACTCAGCTGCTAATTGAAAGGTTAGAGGTTTGAGTCCACCCCAGAGGAAAGGCCTGGTGACCTAGTTCTCAAAGACAAGTCACTGAAAACAGCATGGGGCTCTGTTCAGAATCCATTCCAAGGCACATGGGTTTTGCAGGACAGGAAGACATCGCAATTACATTCAAGCTTTCAGCTTAAATGAAGGGAATGGGGGACAGTTTCTGGGGACCTGGAAACTCAACACTGCAATGATTCTGCCTTGGGGACAGGGTATGAAAATTGAGCTTCTAGAGACCAAAGTTGGTGAGCGATTGCCTGGCTGGAAGCAGTGAGTTTCAGTTGATGATCATGGGGATTTGGCAATGATTGTGGGTGATGGTTGTACAGCACAATTAATGTCATTGATGCCCCTAAATCGGACACCTGACAACGTTGAATTGGAAATGTTGTTTTATATGTATCTTTATAATAATAAAATATAAGTGAGTTTAACAAATGAATTACAAGTGCTTATTCAAGGAGGGGCTTACCATGGGTCGTTTTTATTTCCAAGCATTCAGAGCATTTTCTCGCACTGCCTGTCCTGCTGCTTACAATGTCCAGGGGACTCCCACATGAAGATCTGAGAAAGTGGCTGCAGAAGAATTAGGGACGTCATAATGTTCAGCGTTGTTCACCCCAAGACATGGGTGCCAGGGAGAAGCTTTTGTGGACTTTAACTAACCTCTTTAATGCACTCCCCCAGGGGCACCCATGGACTTTTGAAAATTATAGCAAGTAAAACCATTAATTTTTCCCCTTGATTTTTATGACATCTCTATGGAAGCTCTATTGGGAACATCTGGATGCATAAGTTGTAGAAACATGCATCTAAGTCTTCCCCATGATAGCACTGGCCTCTGAGATCACACGCTAAGCTTTCTCCACTGTCTCCAGGAGAGGAGTCGGGCACTGGGGTCAAGCTCTGAGCTGTGAGGTTGGGCAGCCTGAATCTGAATGCCTGCTTTTCCACTTGCTAGCTGAGTTTCCTTGGACAAGTTTGTTCACCTCTCAGTTTCCTCATCTGTAGAGTAAGGATAACAATAGTACCTACCTTGCAGGGTTGTGGCTAGTGTCAAAGGAACAAAAGGCAGCAAAGCCCTTCATATGGGTCCTGACATGAGGTCAGCACTCTGCACAGGTGGGGACTTTGGACTTTGCATTATACTCATGTAAAAGCCTTCTGTGGTAGATGAGTCCTGATCAAAAGGAGGAAAAGCGTGGAACAGAACTTCACACTCATATGGAAACCAGATTTAGTGGGTACTTTGAGGTTGGGGGAACACCCAAATCTCATGCCTAGGAATAATCTGTAAACCTCAAACTGAAACGATCCCCTGAAGCCATTAACGCAATGAATAAAGAAGGTTTGCCCTGCATAGCACTCTTATACAGCATTAACCATATGAGCTTAATGTGACAACGGTTCATCTAAACCTCAGATGAGAACTTCAAGGGGCAGAGCATGTAAGTTAATGGTGATGGAACAGTGTGGGCAGAGGTAGGTGGTGACACAGTGTGAAGTATGTCACCAACACTGCTGAACTGTTGTTCATGTTGACATCTTCAGCGGATGTGGGTTTGGTGGTGTATACTGCCACTGAAGATAAAACATTAGAAGAAAAGTCCTTTGCTGTTGTTGGCTGCCATCGTGTCAGCCAACCTGTGATGACCCTATGCACAATGGAACAACACGCTGCCTGGTCCGGTGCCATCCCCACGACCAGGCACAGCTCAGACTGTTGGGACACACAGGCCTTTCATTGGCCGGTTCTCAGAAGGCCTTTTCTTCCTAGTCTGTCTTGGTCTGGAAGTTCTGTTGAGACCTGTTCAGCATCATGTTGTTGCTATGTGCCATGCAGTCGGACCTGACTCACAGCAACCCCTCCTTGGGTTTCTGAGGTGGTATCTCTAGGGAGGCAGATTGCCCAGTCTTCCTTCCGAGGAGTGGCTGGTGGGTTTGAACCGCCAGCCTTCTGGAAGCAGTCAAGTGCCTTAGGCACTATGCAACCAGAGCTCCCGTTCAGCATCATAGCAACTTGCAAATCCCCGTTGACAGATGGGTGGTGGTTGGACGTGGCTGGGAGACAAACCCAGGTCTTCTGCGTGGAAGGTGAGCATTCTACCTCTGAGCTACCATGGCCCCTAGATCCTCAGTACTTCATCCCCTGGGAGCTTGTTAGAAATGCAGACTCCCTGGCCCGCCCCAGACCTGCTGGACCAGAATCCTCACTAGAACAAGATGCTCAGGCCATTGAGGTGAGCGTGGCTTCCCATTTGGAAGTGCTGCTCTAGGCTCAAACATACAAGGAGGTGAGTGGGCTCAGCTTTGGTTATGAAACCTATAGGCAGGGGCTTGTTGGCCCCGAAAAAACCAAGCGCCAGGACACGCTGACCCTCATTGGCTGGGCATTCTTTTTTTTTGTGTGTGTGGTCAAATGTAGATAACATAAAATTTTCCATATAAGTGTACAATTCAGTGGCCTTAATTCCATTCATCACTTGTACAGCCATCACCATCATGTATTCCCAAAGCTCTGTCATCACCCCAAGTAGAAACTCAGTGTTCTTTCAGCACTACCTCCCCACCCTGTCTCCTAGCCCCTGCTAACCACTGATCTGCTTCCGGTCTACACTTGCCTATCCTCCGTGTTTCGTATACAGTATTTGTCCTTTCGTGGCTGACTTAATTCACTCAGCCTCATGTTTGCGAGGATTGTCCATAGGGGTATCGGAACTCATCTCGCTTTAGGGCTGGATGACCTTCCCTGTGTGGATAGATGACATGCTGTTTGTCCCTGCTGTTGATGGCCCCTTGGGTGGTTCCTCCTTTTGCTATTGTGAACTGTGCTGTAATGAACACGAGTGTGTAACTCTGTGTTTGTGTTCCTGTTTTCAGTTTTCTGGAGTCTATATCTGGGAGTGGAATTGCGGGGTCACATGGTAATTTATGTTGAACTTCATGGGGAACCCCCAAGCTGTTTTCCTACCTGGGTGTTCTTGAGCAAATCACGTCACCTCTGGGCTTCAGATTGTTCATCTGTAAACTGACCCACCTGTTTTTGGAGTTTGTTGAGAGGAGAAAATGAAAGAAAGTGAAAATGGAGGTGTAAGAGTGAAAAGTCAGTTATTTTTACTTTGTTTACTTAGAAAAAGGACACGGTCATTGCTGTCACTGTTGTTAAAACAAATTTTGACAAATTCAGTTTCCAGTCTTCCACATTTATTGATGACATGTACAAGTCATAGTATTTGGTGTCCTGATTACAGTAATGGGGAATGACAGGCCCAGGAAATACAAGCCTGGTATTTTTGGAAACTAAATGGGAGAGTTTTGTAATTTGGCTAAAAGGCATTGCCCTAGAAAAGACTAGCGCTGTGGTCAGTGGGGCTGTTGATGCCATTTACAAAACAGCCACTGAACGGCAGTGAGACATACACGAACGACATGCAGGAATTGCGGACCGTTATAGGTGGTGCATTTAAATAGAACATAAGCTTAGCGGCCACAGCAGCTTTCATTATGTCCAAACAATCCAAGCAGGAGACAAGGCATTGATTATATCAGCAGAAAAACTTCAAGTACAAAAATGCCAAGATATTCCAGCACACCACAGCAGACCAAAGACACAGCCTCCTAGAAGGATTCATGAGAAGGACGGGGCGAGGGCAGTGGGAGGCACACGCTGTAGTCACCCAGGGCAGGCCAGGGTCAGCCGGACACTCACACGACGCTGGCCTACACTGCACTCTTCAGATCACTCCCTACGCTCACACTTGCTGTACTTGACAATGATAAAAGGGTGCCCCAACTTTAACATTACATCAAGCAATGAACCAGAAACAGTGAACCAACAAAAGCCCTTGTCCCTCACAGATCACATTGAGGAAATTGCATTTTAATGATACAGTGACTGTGATGAGCAGAGAAAACTCCCAAGCAAAATGCTGGCTTCCTAGCTATTCCATCACTTCTCAAAGTATCTGAAACCACAGTAAAGCAATATCTTGTGACATGTTCACTCCTACTCTGACACCCTCTCTTGTTTTCAAGACAGAAAAGGAATAATAGAAGAAAAAAGTTTTTTTTTTTAAAGAGTAATTTACACTTTCAATTAGCAAGGTGTCAAAATACTTTGTACACAGGCGTGCTCTGAGGTCAACAACACTTTCTCTCTCATTAGAACCATGACAGCTCCCTTAGACTTAGTGCATAAAAACCCCACAACCACAGCCATCAATACAACAGTGCCAACAACAACAACAAGGCAGCAAATGGGAAACAGCTCACATCCCCGTGCTGTTTATTTTGGGGGAGGGCTAGCGTGGGAGCAGGCCAGGAAAACAGAGTAACATTGCCTTGTCCCCAAGAGTCAATGGTGCTGAGAAAATTGTTTCGCTGTAAGTAGGAGCTGGAGAGTGGAAACACACAGTCTCTCGGGCAACAAGTGCAGAGCCATCGAGTGCTGACAGTCAGGGTTGGTAGCTGCAGCAGCTTTGCTAAGGAGAGATTTGAACCATTCTCAGTGGTAATGAGACTCCTTGGGCCTGGCCTGGGTTGAAGTGCAGAGGCAGGAGTGAAGCAGATGAGCAGGCCGACGCTGCAGACTCGGGGTGTGTGGGAACGAACAGCCAGTTCTCGGAGCGTCCTGCACCCTTCTCCCGTGAGCATTTGGGGAATCAGAGTTTGTGGGTCACCCGCCCTGGGCTCCTTTCACAGAGCCTGCTACATACCATCTTCCTTTCCAAAGGCTTTACAGCTTCAGAAGGAAAAAGCCATGTAGAGTCCTGGCTAATGACACATTTTCTCGACCCTCTAAGCCCTGCCTTCTTCTCTCTAAACACCTTGGAGGGTCTAGCAGGACCAGATTTGCCTCCATGCCTGTGGCCTGGTGCTCTACCCCAAGTTCATGCCATTGCAGCTACACAGGATCTCCTTGAAGGTGCTGCGCAACTCCAGGCTCCGAAAGGCATAGATGACGGGGTCGATGATGGAGTTGCACATGATGAGGACCAGGTATGTGTTGAAGTGGGCAGTGTAGCAGACACAGTAGGGGTTGGTGGGGCAGGTGATGATGAGGACCAGGTGCAGGAAGAAGGGGGCCCAGCAGAAGACGAACACCCCCAGCAGGATGGTGATGGTGACGGCCCCTTTCATGCACGAGTGCTGCGGCGGGGCCACCCCGTCGGCTGGCGGCAGGGCGGCAATGCGCTTGGCGTGCAGCCGGGCGAAGAGGAACATGTGCACGTACAGCGTGGCCATGAGCAGCAACATGGCGAAGAACATGGTGATGAGGCACACGATGACCATCTTGCTCTCGGAGTAGACAATGAACACCACGCCGCAGACACCGCAGCACACCCAGATGGCCGCGATCAAGCCAAGGGCCTTCCTCACGGTCATGATGCTGTGGTAGCGCAGTGCGTAGAAGATGGTGACGTACCTGTCAATGGCGATGGCCAACAGGTTGCAGATGGAGGCCACCAGGGAGATGCAGATCATGGAGTCAAAGACGTTGTCCATGTGCTGGATGAACTGGTCCTCGAAGGCCAGGTAGTTGCCATTGACAACAGCGATCATGATGGTCTCCAGGGCATTGGACACGCTCACCAGCATGTCAGCCACAGCCAGGCTGCAGAGGAAGAAGTACATGGGGGAGTGCAGGTTGCCGTTGCGTGCCACGGCCAGGATGACCAGGATGTTTTCCAGTAGGCTGACGATGCCCAGCGCCAGGAAGACCTCGGGTTTGATGAAGACCTGCTCGCAGAACCCACTGCTGCTCTGGTTGGCCGGGGACGGGGCCACGGGGTGCTCTGAGCTGTTGGGCATCGTTGGCTGAGCAGAGAGCAGGCAGCAGGAGACATTCATGGCTCCAAAGGGCTGTTCGGAGCTGAGGCTCAGCAGGTCCAGAGGCAGCTGCTTGACTGCAGGAGAGAATCTCCCTCCAGAGGCTGGTCTCGGGGGCTTGACCAGTCCAGACTTACAGTTTGTTCTCCCAGAATAAAAGGAGGGAGAGAGAGAGTGAGAGTCAGAGAGAGAGAGAGAGAGAGGGAGAGAGAGAGACAGAGAGCAGTCACACACACACACACAAAGAGAGATAGAGCAAGTCACACACACACACACAGAGTCAAACAGACAGCAACACACACAGATGGAGAGACAGAGAGGAAGACACACACAGACACACAGAGAGCAAGACGCACTGAGACAGAGACAGACAGAGACACACACCTAGAGACAGAGATTGGCTTGAAGACAGAACTTTCCTCTGCTTCTTCTCCAGGAGCAGTTTGCAGCTCCTGTCATCAGCTGTCTTCTTTCTTTCTCCCTCTCTCCCCTTCTCTCTGGCTCTCCTCACATCCCCATTTGGGGACAGAAAACCTGCCACTGGTTGCTACAGTGACGACTGCTCTCAGAGCAAGGCAGGATGTGGTGGTACCTGTCTTTAGAAGTGAGGGGAGAAAACTCAGGCTTTATACAGGAACCAAGGGCAAACAACTCCTACCTAATCTCCTCGCTGCAAAGCGACCACTGAGCAGTGATCACCTCTCTGACTGACAGTGGGACCCACTCTAGGGATTTCTGCGGGAGTTGGCAAGGCAGCCTGGTGCCCTCTGCAGGCCAGACGTTCTAACACTTGCATGTTCTGCCGAGCAGTTCTTCCTTGTCATGGATGCTACCACGTCCGTCCATCAGCCCATCTGTCCATCCGTTCATCCCTTGTTTTTCCAGCAAATATTTACTGAACACCTGCTGAGGGTCAGATCTTAACTGGGCACAGGGTGCACAGAGGTGAGTAAGACGGAAAGACAGACACAGCCTGTATTTGATTACCCAGTAAGCAAGGTGAGCACGGGCTTACTTGTGCTTACTTACTAACCTGTAGTGAACAATTTCTCATTTTCTCACCTCATCAAAGGTTCTCCTGGGTATGGCTGGCCTCTGTCTCTCTCCCAACCCCATGCCTCCCTGTCCTTACTGGGTAATCTGTACGTGGTACGGCCCCTGTCTTTCCTGAGTCTGGAGTGGGAGATGAGAAGTCAGGTGCTTATGTCCAGGATGTTGGGTGCTTGACTCAGGACAGCCCAGAGAGCAGTGGGAGCAGAGGGAAGGGCCCCTAACCTAGCCGGTCAGCGAGAGCGTCTGGAGGATGGGGAAGCTAAGCTCTGACTTCCAGGAAGAAAAGGCATTGTCCAGTGTGAGGGTGGGTGGTAGGAGAGGGCTTCAGGTCAAAGGGTAATGTGGCTCCAGCCTGGAGGTAAACAGTCAGGGGTTCCCAGCCTCACCATGCATGGGAGTCACCCACAGAATGTGGGTGCTGGGATCCCACCCAACCCACTGCATCAGCGTCACCCAGTAGGAGCAGGGACCAGGCAGATGTGTTTCAATTTTCAACAGGTGAGCTGATGCATAGCCAGGTGAGGTCTACAGAGAAGGAAGCTGGGTGTTTTTGAAGCACTGAAAGTAGTTTGCTCTGACTGGAGCATGGAGTTGGAAGGCACAGCTTAGAAATGTGGTGGCAGAGGTGGTGGTGTTTTTTGCAAAGATGGTGAGAGGTGTCTGAATCCTGAAGAGCTTTGTCAGCCCTGTTTGAAGGTCTGGACTGTACCCTGAAGGCAGTGGGACAGGGATGCAATGGGGTCTACATTTTAGAAAGAGTCCTGGTTACCGGGTGGAGAATAGATTAGAAGGGTGTGAAAGTGGACTTGGGGAGACCAGGGCAGAGGGTTCTGGGGAGATGATGGTGGTCTGGACCAAGGAAGAGGCTGTGGGGCTGTGTAGAAGTGGACGGAGAGATTTGGAAGGTGAGGACATGGAGATCAGGCACTGGTTGCAAATAGGACTGTAGGAGAGAGGGGACCAGAGAGCGCTCCAGCCTTCACCTTAACTAACTGGGAGGATGCAGGTTCAAGAGACAGGCTAGAGGCTGACCTACCAGGTGGAGTTTACTGGAAAGTGTGATTTAATATTTGGTTCACGTTGTGTTTGATGCTGCACATGGGGATTATGTAAGCTCAGAATCACCGAGTCCCCTCATCCGTACACACACACACACACACACACACACACACAGCAGATGGATTAATGATCCACCACCTACGGGTAGCCTGCAATTTAAGACGACTCTGTTTTAAGTCGGCTCTGACATAAGTTGAACACCACTTTTTTGTTTTCATTTTCATTGCCTTTTATTATCTTTATAAATCCGATCTTTGAACATCTGCAAGGGAACATCTGAAAATGATAACATCAGCCAATTATGCAGTGCTGTGTTCTATGTGGTACATGTTACTAAGATAAGATGTAAAAAGAAAAAAAAGCCCAAACCAACCAGACGGTCGTTAAGTGTGGTTCGTTGTTAACTTGACTATGTCGTAAATTGGGGACTATCTATCTCTATGAATGTGACTTTGCATGTATGCACATGTACAGCAGGGAAGACATATGTACATGGAAATATAAGACAATTTAGAATATTTAAGAAACTTTGGGATGGAGAGATCTTAAGCAAGAGGGCAACCCCACATTCAGTATGGAAAAGGCACCATCAGGACAGCAAAGGTTATGATCACTTATACACAAAGAAGCTTTTCACATTAATAAGAAAAAGACAAATCACGTGTTAGAAAATTGAGCAGAAGATCTGAATAGGAATTCAGTGAAGAGGAAATGCAAGTGACTAATAAACATATGAAAAGATGTTCCGCCTTCTAGGGGGAGTTAGGGAGAGGCAAATTGAAAAGATGTATATCATATTCCCAGTTAGACTGGAAGACTGAAAACTACTTGGGATTCAGGAGAGGATGCAGGGGGAAGGGCCCAGGCGGCATCCCTGCTGCTTGTGAATAATGTCAACGTTTGGCAGTTTCTGTTAAAGTAAAAGATGCGCGTGGGGATGAATGAGAGCCACGAGAAATACTTCTGTTTGTTTTTAAGACAGCAACTTAAATTCTGAGGATGAGCCCCTGTTCCTCCAGGTTGGGGAAACCTTAGTTTTAACCCCTTTGCAGAGCCGCTCCTTCTCACCCTCAGGTTCACATCCAGAGGGGTATTGATACTACTTTTGTCTGTGGTTTCAGGGGCATGAGTCTTACCTGCAAGGAGCCCTGCTAGTGCGGTTGTCAAATGCTCAACTGTGAAAAGTCACCAGTTCACACACACCAGCCGCTCCCTGGGGGAAAGATATGGCAGCCTGCTTCTGTCAGGATTTCAGCCTAGGAAACCCTGTGGGACAGTTGTACTCTGCCCTAGAGGGTTGCTATGAGTTGGTTTTGACTCTGTGGCAACAGGTGGGTCTTATCTGCTGGGGTGGTGGTAGTTCGGTGGTAGGATTCTTGCCTTCTGTGAGGAAGACCCAGGTTTGAGTCCCAGCCAACGCACTTCACGCACAGCCATGTTAGCGGAGGCTTTCCTGTTGCTGGGATGCCGACCAGGTTTCAGCTGAACTTCTAGATTAAGGCAGACTAGGGAGAAAGGTCTGGAGGTCTCCTCCCAAATATCAGCCAATGAGAACCCTGTGGGCCACCACATCCAGTGCTCAGCTGGGGATGGGGTTGGGGCAGGCCCAGGCCGCATTTCATTCCATTGTGCCTGGAGTTGCCATGAGTTGGGGGCCAATTGAATGGCAGCCAACAACAACAGCAACCAGACTGTGACTGTGTGGGCTCTCTTCTGCCTTTGAACTTGTGCCCAAACTGTTCCCTCCTCCACTGAGGTGCCCTGCCCTGCTCACAACACTTCACCTGGTCAATCCCTGCTCATCCTTCTGAACTCCACTGAAGAGGTCTTCCTCTTTCTTGATCAGCAAACGCTCTGTGATCACATCCCTTCTTACCGAAGGAGGGAGGTCAGCTTTATATGGTACCTTTATATATCCCATAGAACTGTGGCCCTCTCCTCAGCTGAAAGTTGTCCTTATCTGTGTGTTCAGTTCATGTGATATTCATGCCATGTTTGTTCATGTCATGTTATGTCTGTAAGCTTCAGGGGGTCAGAGAATGGCTTTCTTTTGCGCACCTGTGAATCTTGAACACCTTGCATGTGTTGAGCACAAATTGTTGTTGAAATGCCAATTGTAACAACAGCTGGTATAGGGGTCAAAGCAAAATGTCTTGAGGACATAAAACAGAGGCTAGGTGGCATTACTATTGCCACTTTACAGGTAAGGACATGGAAGGACAGAAGGAATATGCAATTTACAAATTTTTACACAATCGGAAAATGATGAATTTAAGTCTGGCTGCAGAGCTGAAGTGCTCTGGAAAGTATTGGGAACTCAGCTCTTGGCCTGTGTTTCCAGGACTCCATGTGGAGTCAGTATGGCTGCTTGTGGCTCCAGACCTGCATCTTCTAGAGTTCAAGTTCAGAGAAAGGCTGAGAGCCTTTCTCGCAATAGATGTAGGATACCCCAGAGTACATCTCCCTGAATCTGACTGGAACAGAGTCACACTCTTGAGTTAATCACTGTGGACAGAAGAATGCAATGCCTGGATTGGCCAGGCTGAGTTATGTGCCCAGTCCTTGAGCCCAAGGAAAAGTTAGAGCCACCTGAAGTCCATGAGCTGAGAGTAAAG